CCAAGTATTCAAAGAACGCATCTTGCTTGGCGGACTTGGTTGGGAGGACGCCGGCTGTGCTGAGGGGCTGGAGCTGGACGACGCAGATGAGGGGCTGGAACTGCGGCGGCGCTTGCGGGCAGGCGGCGGCGGAGGCTGTGGCTTACTCCGGCGGCTGCGTTGCACGGGTTAGGGCGTTAGTCGGCGTGCGAGGCGGCTGTTGCAGATGCGGAGGCTTGGCTAGGGTGAAAGCTAGGGTGCGAGGTGTGGTTTTTCTGGAGGGGCCTCCGCGCTGCCCTTGTCTGCGGGCTTCTGCCGGTGCTGGGTCGCCGGGTTCTTTGCCCGCAGGCCTATCCATTAGGCAGGCGAACCGCGCAGAGGTGGGCGAACTTGCAGCGCTTGTCTGCGCAACGGTCTTTGTTGAACCGCAGGCATAGCGTCTTGTTTCCATGGCGCGTGAGCAGGGCTCCATGGGGCTCCGGAGCTTTGCCCATTGCCTTTGCCTCCTTTACCATTGCCTTTAGGGTTCTGGAGGGCGCGTGGCTGAAACAGTGCATGCATGTCCACACAGACGCAAGTGAATTCATGCAGGGCCTCATCCAGCGTCCAACCGTCCGCGACGAGCTTTGCTATCTCGTTCCAGAGAGCGCGGTCTGCCTGCAGGAGTTCCTGCGTGTTTGCAGCGCGAAGGCCGAGGGACGGGGGCATGCTTTCCTTCTTGTCGAAAGCCTTAAGTACCGACAAGCGCGCGCCATTGCAGAGCGCGATTGCATTGCGAAAAACGGCCTGCTTGCCTGTGCCAGCCAGGAGGCGTTGAGGCGAATGTGCAGCCTCTGTGCGGAGCGTGCGTGTCGTGCGGGCCTCAATTAATGTCCTGGTACTGCTTGCTGGAGAGGCGCATTTGCCAGGGGACCCACTTTATGGCTCCCCCTGGCCGGAACCACAAGTGCACGAGAGAGAGCAAGCGTATGCTGGGCATGCAGTCCGAATCCAGGTGTTTTTTCTGGATAATTGGCGCGGAAGCTGGCTTGCAGTTGCGCGACGGTGCTGGCGTCCAGCCTTGGCGGGGCGTGCTCTGCCCAGACGTTGGCGCGCACGTTCTGCTGGCTGTCTCCCGGGAAGGGGACGGGCGGCGCGGGCTGTGCATAGACTGGCTGCTCGTCCTGAGCCTTAGTGAGGGCTTGCGCGCGGGTGAGGGCGCGCCTCATGCGTGCCATGTGCATGCTGTGCTCTGGGTCGGAAACGTGCAGCGCTTGCCAGAACTCTTCCGCCCTGGCTTCTGCAAAGACAGAGAGGTCGGCTGTGGAAGGATAGGCATAGGCGAAGTCTGCGATATGAACCGCTAAGAGCCAACTGGAAAAAGCTGCGTAGCGGTGAGAGGCCTGCAGCTAGGCAAGCGATGAAGCGACCTGAGCAATCGAATCAGCATTAGAGGGGGGGCAAGGTGCAAGAGGGAAGGGGCAGAAGGGGCACTCACTGTTTCAGTCTAAGTTGCTCAGGCGTGCTTTGCGTGCATTCACGCAGGCTCTGCGCAAACAAACTGATTCTGGAGAGTCGGTCTGTACAAATGTTGCAAACATGCCAAGCCTGACGCCGCAACAGGAGGCAGGGCTCCCTCTTGCGTCTGCGATGCCAGGAAAGCTTCTTCACAGTCCCTCATGATGCAGGGGAGTGTGGAGGGAATTCCAGGGGCCTGATGTGACGAAGAGCTCAACGTCGCAGGTGCTTGGGCGCTGGCTTTCTTCCAGCTCGATGTCTTCCTCTTCCTCGGACGAGTCCGCATGGTTCCGGGCCCACTCTTCCACCTCCGAGGCTTCAGGGTCATGCGCGGCCGAAGCTGCAAGACCGGGCTGTGGAGCTTGGCTGCGGTTCCTTCGAGAGCGTGCTCGTCTGCGACGGGCTAGGCGGCGCGTGGCTAGATGCGTGCAGGTGCTCGTGTCTGGAGGTCCAGGTGGACCACACATCGGCCAGCAGGGCCGAGGCCGGAAGGTGCTCGGGCGGGATTGCAGATGAGAGCTCGAAGGGCGGCTCCGGCCCGCCGCGAGCCATGCTACGCTGAGGGCGCCAACCGGCCGCCAGGCTGCAGGAGCTTGCGCTGTATGCGCAGGGATGCCAGGGTGTCGTTGCGTGAGTACAACCCTGCTGTGGTCCAGCTGGGCGCTGACTGCCAGGAGCGTGCTTTTCATGTTGTGCAAAGTGAGGCTTCGGCGTGCTGAAGGGCAGAGCGGCCGGCAAGGTGCTCAGACTGGGCACAATGGCGCAGGTTCAGCAGAGAGTGAGAGTAGCTAGCAGGCGCCAGCTCGTCTATGCTGTCCAGGTGCAGGGTTGCATGCAGGAAGAAGAAGTCCGGGGCCTCGCAAGACTGGCCGCCGACCTCTGCCAGGGCTTTGAGCCAGTGCAAGAGCCAGGAGCTGGCCACGTCTCTCCCGGTTATGCCGTGCCAGGTGCACGCAAAGGGCTGACCCTGGCGCGTGGTTTTGGTTGCATAAATGTAACGGGCCAGGGGTTCAACCCCCAGGTTTGGTCCAACCCCCAGGAATCTTCTCTCGTATTTTGTGTCCGGATGGCACGCTCCGCTACCTTATTAAAAACGCAATATGGCCAAGTTCAGATGATTCAGATTCAAATATTGCCGTGCTGTGACAATTCCAGTCGCCATTGAGAGCTACTGCGCAACTTTTCTTCCAAAGTTCTCCTCACAATCCCTTGCCCGCACTTGACATTGAAGGTCAACGCGCATCATGGATTCTTGAATCAAACGGCGCCAAGTTCAAGCGCAGCAAAACGAAATTGAAACATGAAGTATACTTTTTAAAAAGCTTCAAAGGACGCATCCTTAAACAAACTTCCAAAAAGAAGCAAGCTCTGCTACCTTATTACAATGGAATTCTAAAACGAAGCCTACGTACTGTTGGGTACTCCAGTACTAAGCTATGTGGCCACAAGGAGAATAAAAACATGCCTCTGACGCGGTTTGTTGTGATTGTGAAGGCACACCCCCGCAACATTTGAGGACAAACGCATCTTCGCTTTGGTTTTGGTGCTTTATATCAAATCCAACCCTGATTCGATATAAATTTTTGGAGCCCTTGCATTTTCTGACCTTTAAGCTTAATAGTGTGTACGGGGTGATTTCCCCACCCCTGCATTTCGTAGCCTTTTCACTTAGATATCTTTTTCCATCCATAAGTATCACGCAAGTTGGGATACACATATATGTATGCATATGTAGAATTCACCTGAGGTCTTTTTAAACCCCAAAATCCCTTTGCATTCTGGCCTCTAAGCCCCAATACATCCGAAATACCTGCGTAACCAGATTGACAAGCTGAGGTAAACTGTTGAAGTTGGTGTGCAGAGAGTATGGCTTTATCTGTTTTAAGAATTAAGCTAACCAAATTTGAACCGGCTTTTTTAATGAAAATGACGTTGTTGCCAGAGCTTTGTTAGGCCTGAAAGACGGGGGGCGGGGACATGGAGAGGAGGCTTCTAGGGGGCTCTCCATTTAACGCAGAGACAGATTTCCTTGATGTCAAGGGCTATGATTATTGCACTATGTGTGTAAAGCTCTTATGCATCCGAAATACTTGCATAACCGTAACCAGATTGACAAGCTGAGGTCAAGTGTTGAAGTGGGTGCCTAGAAACTATGGCCTTATTGGATTTAAGAATTAACATAGTCAATTTCTTTGAAGGGTCTTGTTAGGGACCCTCACAATGGTTTATTTTCTATGAGGGCGTTCCACAATGAATTTGTTTAAAGTCAATATTTGAAATCCATATCATGAATTTCCTATAAGGAATCCGTATATCTAAGGACTTTGATTAGACATGGTTTTAGGAACCCTTAGACTTAGTAAGGGTACTTCTTAGGGAACTCCGTTAGGGATCCTTAGGAGATCCTAAAGGTAATATTTGAAATCCCTACATGAGTTTCCTATGAGGAACCCGTATGTAGGATTCTGACTAGACATGGCTTTAAAACCCATAGGCTTCGTAAGGATACTTCTTAGGGAACTTCGTCAAGGATCTTCATTAAGAGCTCTATTTGCGATTTTTATTTGGAACATCCTGAAGTAGAAAGATTTTAGCGGAACTTTTTGTGTTTTCATAGGCATACTAACAAAAGTATACCGAACTAGAAGGTCGACGACGAATGCATAAGCAAGAAAGAACCCATAAGTAATCAAGAACCGAACAGGAATCGAGCATGCACTATGGTCGTATGGTCGTTGCGCGTTAAGTTCGGAGGACGGCATGACCGTGGAAGCTTTCAATTGTTTTAGTTTATAAACACACGGGTGTTGATAAACATAAGGGTGTTTATGAACAAGTGGTTATAAGCAATAAGGTGCTTATAAACACACAACGCATCAAGTTTTTGCAGAAGACTTTATGGTAGGAACGTATAAGGAAAGTATATATCAGATTATGCATGACTATGCTATATTATGTAACAAACTATACTGCATAATCTCAAGAAAGCCCAAGGTATATATTTTCAACGCCCCTACCCCACAGCAACTTCTTCTGAAAACTTACGCCGGCTTGCTGAAGTCTACCAAGTGCGGGCGTGGGGAAGATAGCCTCCAGCTAAAAAAAATACCCAATTCTCGTACCGTTTTTCAAGCCAACACTTTATACCGAATCAGACCCTGATTCGACATAAATTTGGGCGCCGTTGTTCAAGCCAACAATTCATGTCGAATCAGACCCTGACTAAACGTAAATTTGGACGCCGTTGTTCAAGCCAACAATCTATATCGAATCAGACCCTCACTAGACATAATTTTTGGCGCCGTTTTGGGAACAGAAAATTACATCGAATCAGACCCCTGATTCGACATAAATTTGGGCGCCGTTTGGGGAGCCAAAAATTCATATCGAATCCGACCCTGATTCGAT